CACTTCCTGCAGTGTCTTATCATTTCTGACCACCGCAAGGAGGCCTCCAAAAACGTCACTCGCCACAATATTCTTCTCAGTGAACATATCAGCCTTCCTAGCACCAGTCCACATGGAGCTGACCCCAATGCCCGGCTCCCCGATTCTTCCGTTCTCACCGCAAGCATACAACTCTCGAACACGATACCAACTGGAACGGCTGCTGCTCCCACCCAGAGGATACCAAAAATCTGTCGGTTTTACAGCGCCGCCAACTTCCGCGGGGTTAGCGGACATAAGAAAAAAAAGAGACTTCGCACCTATGAGTAATTCTCACGACTAAACGCAACTGCTGATAAATGGAAAATTATGAAATTTTTTACACTCTTTAACCAGCAATTTTCCGATAGAAAATATACAATATTGCGAGGCCAATGGCAATGGCGATGGCGGTGAGGACCATGCGATTAGCCATAGCTCGCCGCGCCATAGTACTGATGGTTCGGCGGGCTGTAGCCAGGTTGGAGTCGACCTCGTTGAGGCTGTTGCCCGTACGGGAAATCACTTCACGTTGTGACCTGTAGACGACAAGGGCGTTTCAGAATCTTGGAGATATATATACGTATACTGGAACCATGCCATGTATCACACATGAAACTCGTGAAAAATTGCATAACCTACTCTCAAGGGCTGTCCTGGTGGATAGCTACGTACCTATGCCCTATCGTGTGTTCAAGGGGTGGAGGAGGAAGCAGAGACCGAAACATGTTTTATACGGATGATGAATGTGATATTTATAGATATCTTAGTTTGCAGTAGATTTCAACATGATTATGAACATATTTCTCAACGACGAAGAAAACTCAAATTGATGTATTGAAAAAAGCTGACCCTTCAAAATTTCGGCCAACATTTTTTTCCATTTCCGGAAGTATATTCCAAGTATTATCAAGCCTTTTTCCTACAATACCCGTTAATACCGTAAATCGGACATAACCCCAACAGCGATGTCCTCCGTCTCGAGAGCTGTCCTCTTCGCATCGCGTAGTTGATTAGAACTGTCGCGCAACCTAAAGAGATCACTGCAGCCTCGATCGGTAAATGCGTGTTTGGATACATCTCGGTGGAATCCACAAGCCTCTGCCTGTCTTCTTGCCGAGATCGTCCCTCCTCGATTCTACTACTGCCAGTGACGGAGCTGTTCTTGCTGTAGCTTTGATTATTCATGGTGAAATAGTTCAACTGGTATCCGGGCAAGCTTGCATCGTAACGACCCCGGATCGACCCGAGCAGATCATATTGATCAACCCAACACTAAATATTCGAATGAGTCCCAACTTTGCTAAAGATACGACGCTGCTCACGAATGGCGATTAATTGGGCGCGCGCTTTTTGCAATGGCGTGAGAGATGTGCCCCGCGCGAAAATTTGAAACTATCTGAAGGACAAGGCCCTTCTACTTACCCTAATATTTGTACAATCACAGTGCGCTACTAAGTATCGATTATCTATATGATAAAACATGATATCGATCATGCGTAGTACACAGTTGAAAATACTTCTGCTGAAGACAAGTAGTACCGCCTAGCCCTCGTCGAGGCCAACAGATGGAGTACGACAGATAACGTTTGACTGACCGTCAAATCGGATATCACTCGAATGCTGGCCTCATGAACCAATTCGATTGGCAACCAAACAAATCACGACACCCCTTGGAACGCGCGCGTGCTCCCACATATCAAAAAAGCCAACACGCAGCAAGGATGCGATGCTACTGACTCGACTACACTGTTGAGAAATAACATCGATTTCCTCAGCTGAGCTCAGCATTTTTCGCACTACATTGTAAGAATATGTTAGGGTAGAAATGTGAAGAAAAAACCAACGAGAATATCCCAAAATTTTCTCAAATCTCATTGTTGTCATCAATACCCATAGTTGACCGTGTGCACACTTTCCCACAGTGCTCGACTATGAATAGAACTCAACACTTGGGGGCAAAAATAAAAGTATCATCATAACGTGATATCCAACCACACGTTTCCCTCCGACGACTAAGGGTACCTAAACGATGAAAATTCACATATGAAGTTTATTTACACGCAGCCTACCATCCCTTGTCGCCTCCTGAACGCAGAGGATCCCAAAAGTATCTGAGAGAAGCTCAGAGATGAACATCCCAGAGCCGTGGGGAGGAGGTCCTACAGCGAGCGTTTCGATACGTTCCAAATTCCAAGTGTCATCGCTTCCTTATACGGATCATCGAACCAGCCAAATAGATACCTGACAAGACGCGATCAAATCGCCATCTTGAGACTGAGCAATAACCTACCACATGAGACTGGGGTATAGGGCGATTTGGAAAGGCAGCATGCGGTGGTAGACTTGCCTCCAACCCCACCTGACAAGAGGAGTTGTGTAGAGGAATTGAGGAGGGGTCGTTGGTACTTCTTCCTGGCGGCAAACTGCTCGGTCATGCCCCATAACCTGTGATAGACTGCGAGGGTCATTGAAGTTACCAAAGTCAGCAGCTCAAGAACGACTTCGCCCACGAGACGAAGATGTAAGACGATAAAAAGCTGCACGGAGAATGGCTACTCTCTGTGAGAACCGGGATGAACACGCGTGCAAGATGCGTCTTTGAAAATTTCGCGCACGCCACAAAAATGGCGCGCGCTCCAACATGGTGTAAACCGAAACAGCTTCACAAGTGAGCAACGCGCCTCTATCGACCACACTAACGACATACTACTGATCACACTGTGTGAGATGATGATGAAACTACTACCCAACAGTTAATACTAATCAATAGCATTCGGTGAAGAGTGTGGCCAACGTATGCGTGCAATACAGTAGATAATACTTGAGCGAGCTCAACAAATAAGTTAATACAACGCAAGATCGGTGTGAAATAATTAGAAAACAACAATACAATCACCATGCTTCGCTCCGCTAAGGATCAGAATCCCCACTGGATGTACTCAATACCCTGCCCTTTGAGATCACTAATTATCGCCTCCTGACGCGTTTTGTGATCGACTAACAAAGAGGCTCCAAAAAGCAACGATTCTCATCTTCACTTACAGCCTTTGATTTTTCTCACAATTTTGCCGTGCCACTCGATAGCCACCCACTTCACTCTGCTGGGTAGCACTCTCGAGTCCAGCAGCTCCCGAACTACTGTGTACATGAAGAACGACAGCCCCAGGGATCGAACCCGATACCTCCCGAATGCCAAACCCCTAACTACTCCGCTCCCTCTATATCGACTTTGAGGAAAACTTGCTGACGATAACCGTCCAGCACAACTCTTCTGATCCATTCAATGAAATCCACTACGCAACCATCCGTTTTCCATTCACCTGCACCCATGCATCATTTCTG